TCAGATTTCACGTTGGATGTTACTTCATTGTACATTTTAGTGGTAAATTACCAGTGCAATTCTTTTCTTTTATACGCTTCTTGTATCCATGCAAACAGATTTTCCATCCAGTCTGTAGTTTCCTGAGATGTGAAAAAGAATCTCCCCAAACCTATAATTTGGGGGAGTTGGGGGTGAGATGACCTGGCACAGCTTCATTTAAATCCCAGATACTTTTTTTCATTCCCTGACCCAAACTTGCCTTTTATACATATTGTACCACACAGAACAAGCATAATTTTACATTTGTATGTTGTTCACACCAGAATGGGGGAAATGTATATAGTGTACACATCAGGACTTCTAAAAATATGTGTATATACTGTTTAATGATACATTTAAATTTAAATAACTCTTTTTATTTTTATGCTAATGACTTTATCTTTTCTTTGTGATTCTTTTAGTCTTAAATACTTTTGTGCTTGGTACAGCATTTTGCTGATCAATAGAGTTGCAGCTCCTACTCTGCCTTTTTTCTACTAAGAAAATCCATATTTAAAATGTTCATCTTACTTGAAAGGTAAGTTTTATAAATTTATTTCCTCTGAGAAACACTTGGAAACAAATTTGATAAATCACCTGCACCACATTTGCAGCCAGCACCTGATAGACCAAGTGTCTGCAAGTGAAGAAAACCCACTGAAATACTTTTGCAGAACAATTCATTACAGTTTGAATAAAATAGAAAAATGCATCTATATATACCCATTTCTTGAAAATATTCTGTGTTCTTGTTTTTTGAAACTTTTGGCATGAATAGAAAAGTTCTCGAAGATTTGCAAATTTATTAGATGTTTCAATAGTTTCTGTTTAAACGTAACTACTTTATTTGGAAGTTATAAAGATCTCCTGCCTGTTAGAAACATTTAAATAAAAGCAAAGTTTTGGTCTCATTACACACCAAAAATATTTATGTATAATCATTAAGCCAAATTAGTGGTGTTACTGGGGAGAATTAAGTTTTATAAGCACCTGAAATGTGAAGCCTTTGTGTTTTGTACTTAGATTTTTGCCAACAGCAGTTTTGTGCTAGTCCAATGAGAGACCTCACTCACCATTAATGACATTTGAAATAAAGCAAGCAAAATATTTATTATCTAAATAATTATAAATTTTAATAGCCATCTTTAATAGCAGGTGTTTTTAAACATCTTGACTTGTTTTAAATCAGTGATAAAAAATACTCCTGTCGTTAGAAGGATCTTTGATTTTAATTCTTCCATCTACATAATGAGTTATTTCTATGAGCAGTTGATTTCCAAAATGTCTGTAAAATCTTCTGGACCCCAGTGTCTTAGCCCAAGAATGATTTGTTCTTTTAAAGTCTTGCATCACTAGGCAAACACAGAAGTCTAATAAGCAGAATTCATGTTGTGGTGTTAAATGAAAATATAAAACAATGTAGGTGGTACAATAGTATGGAACAATTCCCTGAGTCATTTAAAGCTGATTAAATTGTGTTGATCAATCATTCTAAATAAGCGAGGAGGAACAAAACTGAGCATTGTGAGGAATGAGGATGGGGCATGATTTCTCAGCAAGAAAAGCTTTCCTGGCTTAGCATGAAAATATAATGTGTTAAGAGAGTCTTAAAATCAATATACCATGAATTAGCAGTCAGCAGAAAACAGCCAGATGACAGGGGGAATATGATTCATTTCTCAGAATGACTAAGATCTCAGGCAGCTCGTGGAGCAGAATATTTGGAGATTGTGAATAGAGTTAAAAGAAATTCCTTTAATTTGATCTGGAAGTGTGTTTATGACAGACATAAAGCACTAGAATTCTGCTGAGGATTTCCTCTGGTGCTGCAGTCGTCCTGACTCTGCTCTGTACAGCTGTTCTGTAAGTGCTGGCTGCTGAGCCAGACACGCCAGCCCTCTCACACCCCAATGCATGGAAATGAAGTTTCCAGCTCTAGATGAGTAATTAGATAACCCAGCAGTGAGGGTGTAACGATAATGAAGTGAAGAGGAAAGGATCCCTCAATAATCAGATCTTTTTCAGGAATTGAAAAGAAAATGCATTTTGATGTTTTTTTCAAAAGACACTCAGCTGCCTTATTCCACCTCTTTCCTTTCCTTCATTTCAGCCTAAAAATTACAGATTTTTCATTAGACAAACAACATCCATAGGTGCTCTGGATGCAAACGAATGTGGATTGCCTTAATATGGGAAGTGACAGCCCCTGGCATTTGTCTGAATATTAATGCTGAATCAGATGGAGAAATCATTATGGCTGATGGTTTTGGTTATTAAGTTTAAAATGTCAGAAGCCTGAGTTTAAGTTTTCGTGACAGCAACAAATGTTTTGTAATTTTTTTAATGCTTAAGTTTCAATTTAAATTCAAATTTCCACTTCTTTTTTTTGTCTTGTCTTTTGGGCTTTCAGTGTCCAGGAACTTTTATTTTTGGTGGATTGGGAGAAGTCTAGTTTGAACTGGGAGAAAACTGCTATCTGTAGTTGCAGCACCTTTGCTTTTTGTGCCATTGGCCTCTCTCTTTTTCTCCTGGGATCATGTAGAATATTTTCATAGCAGAGGGCATTTCATAGCATTTTCAGAGAGGCTCATGGCCAGTTTTTTGAGCAGTCCCAGCCTGGGCCAGATTTCCAGAGCTGCCTCCTGCAGTTCCCACTGTCGTGTTTACAGACAGACGTTCAACAAAGCCCTCAAGCTGTTGAGTTCTTTTGAAAAGCTGGCCACATATTTCTGTGCTGGCTTTGGATAGAAACACTGGGCACTGATGCTCTGTGGTTGAGCTCTTCTGCCATTTCTGACCTCACGGGACATGTCTGGATGTGCTGGTGGTGCTTCTTGAGGACTGTAAGCTGGCAGAGAGGTCTGGAATCTCATCTGGCATGAAAGTTTGTCTTGGAAGACACTAAAAGACTTGGTCCTCATCAGTGAAAGGTGTGTTTGTGTCTCCCATGAAGTTCTGGCCACACAGTCAGCCCAGATGTTAACCTGGATCCAAAGAGCCTCTCTCCCTTTTTCCCAAGGCACGTGTTTCTCTTCTTTATCAAAATCCCCCTCTTAGTGACCTCGTGGCTCTGCAAGTTCTGCAGAAAACCTCACTGAGCCCTGCAACAAAACCGGTGTGAATGTCAGATTTAAAGAGAGAAATGAACTCAGGCTCAGAGGGAAACCCTCCTGATGGAGCAGAGAATGAACAACTCCTTTTGCAGAGTCCTGGAGACGCCCATGCTCCGCAAGAGAAGGGAGCGCGGGGAGGAGAATCAATCTGCTGAGCAGGAGGGGGCAATTCTGCTTCTGCCCAAGATTAATAGCTCAGCAACCTCTGTGGGGAGCCTGACAGGTACAACCACAGCAGCAGGAAACCCCAGCACAGGCACTGTGCTTTTGAGCATTATTCTCTCATCCCTCAGCCTTCCTGCCTCCCAAACGTGAGTTGCTGTGCTTGGAGGGAGATCCAGCTCTGGATTCAGGCACTCCCACACCAGCCCCTCCAGCCCCACAGCTTTTCCTGGGAGTGGTAGCAGGTCCTCAGCCTGCAAATCCCCCAAGGCATAATGCCAGCTGTGCTTTTGGGTAACACCCTCAGAAGCACCAAAGTGACTTAAAAGCTGAAGTCCCCAGCAATCCTGGCTGCTGTGCATTCTCTAAATTGCTTTGACTTTCAGAGAGACTGGGGCTATTCAGATGTTTATTTCCTTCTGAAAACATTCCTGCTGCTGTTTAACAAATACAGTATATTCCCTGTTTGGGATGTTGGAGTGAGTTAACAGCCCAATTCCCTCGAGCAAGGCAGAGGAGAACTGAAGACTCATCTCTTGTTCACATCTTTTATTTTGGCAGAAAATGTGAAACTGCCTTGTTCAGGTGTCTGTTTCCTATTTTAGTTTTGTTTTACTCCTCACCCTTCTAACACTTTTAATTTGGTTGTGGAAGAAAGAATGTCATTTTCTTTCCCACTTATTGTGGTAGAAAATGGGGGATGGAGAGCAGCTTTCTTGAACTCTTATATTCAAAATAGCTATAAATAATTAGTTACAGGGACCTAGCTTCCCCCTCCTTTTAAGGGCTAATTTAAGTTCTTTATCAAAATGATTTAAAATGCCTTTCCCAGTGGGAAACTATATTTCAGAGCTTTTATTTATTAGACTTCTCAAAAAGTGTGTTTTTAATGCACATCCTGACTTTGTGCCAAAACTCTCCACTGTAACATTGGGATTGGAGCAACCCTTTGTATAGGGAGTTATATTTATTGGATTTTTACATATTGATACAGAGCAATTAATCTAAATAAATCACACACAGAATTGGCACATAAATCTCCCAGTCTTCACTGCTCACAGTACTTTATTACTGTCCTGACAACCTTCCCTCAAATACAGAAAAACTTTCCTCTTGGCGTACTTTTTTCTAGGCCTCCTAAAGTGTCAGTGATTTTCTGGGGCTGGTTGCTTGGTTGTTGTTGTGAGCTGTAGAATTTGGGCTGTGGATTTGGTTTTAGGATGTAGGGACAGGACAACATCACTGTGTTTCAAAGGAGAGCAAAGCCTTGAAATTTGTAAGATGTGTGAGGAGCAGGTTTCACGGTAGATGGTTGAATATCTAACTTTAACATTATGAGCCCCTTGTGGCACTGAGAGGAGATTTCTTTCAGTTGGTTTCAAAAGGTTCAATGTCTCTTGTGCTGTGTCACAGACACAGTTTATGAAAAATCCTTTCCTCAACATTTTTTCTCCTGAGAAGCTGAGAGGTCTCAGAAAAAAATGTAAACAATGGTTATCTGCTGCTGTGGAATGCAACAGGTGAATCTGTGATTGGTCTCATGTGTTATTTCTAATTAATGGCCAATCACAGTCAGCTGTCCAGACTATCTCAGTCAGCCACAAGCCTTTGTTATTCATTCTTTTTCTATTCTTAGCCAGCCTTCTGATGAAATCCTTTCTTCTATTCTTTTAGTATAGTTTTGATATAATATACATCATAAAATAATAAATCAATAAATAAATCTCTTCCCTCATCCTAAGGCCCCTGCAAACACCACCACAGTGCTGCATGTCTGCTTTGAGGAGTGCAGTTTGCTCCAGCATTTCAGGGCTCCCAGGCTAAGTGTGTGTGTGTTTGTAGGTTGGACTCCACCTTTCTGGGACACCTTTCCCCCTCCCAAATTGTTTCCTGCTTTCTGAGCAGAAGCTGCATGTGAGACAGTCTGGGCCTCATTATTTTAAGCAAATACAAAACCGTAAGCCAGGTCATGGCTGGGTACAATTCAGTGTGACCCTCAGGCAGTTCACACCAGGGAAGATCTGCCTGGCTCTCTTTTCAATCCCTGCCATTACAAATCCCAGGGATGTGACAGCCTTCTCAAAAAACTCCGCTTCAGACTTTCCCAGGGAAGGGTTAAGAGCTGCGGCTTTCCAAAGGGATTCTGCAGTACTGGGCCCATCACTGCAGAAGGCTCTGGTCTTTCTGACAAAAGGGCTCTGACATCCAGGCAGTACTCCTGAAAGTTCAGAGTTGGGAAAGTCGGAGTTCTGTAAGGAATCATTACAATGAAAGGTAGAACAGATTCCAGCAAGTGTTCAATCACCCAGCGTGGTGCCACTTAGAGGCAGAAGACCTTAAAACAGCCAGCAAGATGCCTGCAGGAGAGGCCTCTGTGCCAGCTCTGGCACTCTGTGCCTGTCATTCCCCTCTGAGCCTGTCATTCCATGCCTTTCATCCCAGGTAAGTTTGGTGGAGGGGCTGGGGACAGGTTGGGTCAGCTCAGCCTGGGCACTGCTGGTCATCATTTCATTCACTAGAAGAAAACAGAAGGAATATAAGCTCAGATAATATTCCTGATTGAAAAACAAATATCTTATTTGAGGATGCTTCATGTAGCAATAGGGGAAAAGGCATAAAGGCACCTGCAGGAGGCCATCAGTGGCACTGCTGCCAGCATTCACCTCTGGCTGGGGTCCAGCTGTGGCCATCTCCAGGATCTGTCATTCCAAGCATGTCTGGAGAAGAAAATAAACAGAGAGACACTCCTCTCTCAAAAATCTTCTTAAAATGCCCAGCTAGTACTGTTCCTATGGGAAAAGGGATACTCCAGCCCTGGCACTGTCACAGTGCCCATGTCATATCAGCAGCCCATGGATTCATGGGTCAGGCCTTCCTCTGTTTGTAAAAGGGGGATAGGATTAGAGATTTCAGCCAGAGACAGAGAGTAGGTTTAGATTACATATTAGGAAGAATTTCTTCCCGGTGAGGGTGTGAGGCCCTGGCACAGGGTGCCCAGAGAAGCTGTGGCTGCTCCATCCCTGGAAGTGTCCAAGGCCAGGTTGGATGGGGCTTGGAGCAACCTGGGACAATGTGGAAGAGGTCCATGCCCATGGCAGGAAGTTGGAAATAGATGATCTTTAAGGTTCCTTCCAATGCAAACCATCCTATGATTCTTTCACCACTGGTAATTTTAATGAATTATGGTTCTGTCACTTTCTATATAACATTCAAGCATATTGTTTACAACGTACCTTAAAAAAAATCATAAAAAGGCAGAATTTTTTAAATGCATGCAGACTTGCCTCAGAAGAACAAATTTGTTTGGATCGTAAACAAAAATTCTGGGTTTATTTCCTTTTTCTTTGTTTTTACTTGAAATCTGTGTGCATCTCATAAAATATTCCTGTGTACTTTCAAGAATAATTGAAGCATATGTACCCAAAATGTAATACTTTTCATAATGGTTTCAGACTAAATTATCCATTATATGGGACTAACACATAAAAGCCTTCCTCTACATCAAGTGATAGATCAAAGGGAGGCACGATGGCTTGTCCACATGCACAAACCACACCTCTCAGATTCTGAGAACAAGGATATGCTGTCTGCATTTTAACTACATCTCCATGACATGAAACACTATTCCTGCGTCTCCTACTGCGGGAGAGTCAGGTACTCCTGGCTACAAAGATTTCCTTTTACATTTCTCCCCTCTTTTTTTTTTTTTTCAGTTCCATAATACAGATGAGATTTCAGTGACTAGTCCTGGGTGAGTCTAATTTGAAAACTAAACTCCTCACTGTTCCCCTCAGGGCAGTGTGGGAACCTCCCGGGCGGAAGTGTGGATCCCAGTCCTTAGGTGGGAATTCTGTGATCTCAAACCCCAGTCCTGCATCCTGGGGGTGGGTGCTGGTGGAGATGTGTTCCTGCACAAATCCCAGTGGGCACAGCATGAGGATTGATGTGTTCCTGCTCCCTGGGTCCCTGTTTTCCTGCTCTGGAGCACTGCATCGTGCCTCAGACCCTTCTCCTCTTTACTGCCTTGCTTGTTGAAATCAGATGTATTTAAAACTTTCTGTGCCTCATTTTTCTATCTGCACAATTAATTAATCTAACAATACCTCCACCCTTGTAAGGATTCTTAATTACTTTGTCTGCCTAAAACCCTTTCCTTCAAGTGGATGATGTGAGGGAGACAAATTCTGAGTGTTACTGCTGGTGAGCATTAATGGATCACTCTCAGATAGGGATCCAACTGTCCCAGCTTTTGGAGTGTTTTGCTGTGAGTTTTTCTCACTGTCTCATCATAAGTAATAAGAAATGCAAACTTACTGGCTTAGTGGCATGATTAAAGATGTTTGTGTTTGGAATTTGACTGCAGTAAGAGACTGAAGATGTATAGTTTAATTTAAGTGCATGTCTAGATCCAGTCTCCCAGCCAGCAGATTGGATGTAAGCCCAATTATTCCCATTAGCATCTGGTTTCTGAGCACTGATGTACTACCATGATCAGGGAATAAAATTCCTTAAAATAACCTCCCCTAGCTGAAATGTTGAGGTACCTTTTATTGTTGTCGTGGCTGCTAAAAATGTGAAGTGCACTGGGGAAGTGCTGAGTTGAGGCACCAGAAGAAGAGGCTGTGATCATGGAAAGGCTGAAACTTCTCCTCTGATCATTTCTGACAGCTCAGAGTGGTTCTTCCACAATTGGAACCACTTGTGCTGCTTATTAATATAATGAAACTTATCCTCCAGCAAAAACAGAACCAACGACTGACACAGGAGTGGAGGGAGAGGCTGAAACCTGATCTGCTTAGGGGTCTCTTAAAGATGATGGAAGACTAATAAAATCCAGCCTGCTTCCTACCTCCATTACAACTCCCACTCCCAGCCTGTCCTCACGAGCTGAAGTGGAATAATGGCTCCTTCCAGAGCCAAGACATCCATCCCCAGCACAGCTGAGTGGCCTCTAATGGTGTTTGGCACCAGGGCCTGCTTTGGTACCTTCCCTAACCTATGAAATTCTTTACTTTGATTCCATTGGGTGTTATGTGAAGCCTCTAAAATGTTTCTTATTTCCTATTCTTTCTTATTTCTTCAGGAGTAGACTTCTTTGGTCATTTGTTTTAGGGTTTTTTGGGTTTTTTGGAGTTTTTTTTATAATTATTTTTCAGGTCAAAAGATATTTCCACAGTACCTCAGGAAAGCTCAGAGTTTGGTACATCTTCATCATGGGGATAACCATAAGAACAGAAAAAAATTCATTTTTCCCATTGGCAGTGGATTAGAGAAACAGTCATAACTCTGCATTAAATAGGATTTCTCAACACCAGGAGGGTGATCATGAGATGTGGAGTGAAAAAAAAAAAAAAAAAAACTAAATTAATGATTAAAAAAAATCCAAAAAACCCCCAGACTTGACGTCTTCAGGCTTTTCAAGAAGTAGATAGGAAAGCAGCTGAACAGAACTGTAAGGGTAAGCAGGGCAAGATGTCAGAGTTGATTTAACTCATTACATTTAAGTGGAAAATAAGGGATGAAAGTTCAGTTTAAGAAAAATTAAGGAAATACCCAAGAATGAGTTTACAAAGTGCAATATTTTCTCTCAAAGCTGTAGGGTTAGCAGGTTGGTATCCAGCATCTGTGACTGATTAGGGGCATTTGAGATGGCAGGTGGCTTTAGGAAATGGAAACCTTACAGGGCTTTACAAATACTTTCTGTAGTTAGGCAAAGTTATTTGATTTATTCTCACTGGTTCTCATTGAATAGCCTGGTTTAAAATCTATCAACTTGTCTTAATCCATGTTAATATTTTCTTATAGACACAGTCCTGTGAAAATTCTCCAATTGGATTCAGTAGAGTTGCCCTGGAGAATAATAGAGTTACTCAGTTTACACCACCGAGGGCTGTGTTAAGGTGAAGAACATAAATCATGGCATTTAAAAATGCCAGCCAAATCTTTTAGACAGTAATGAGATCAAGAACCAGATCTGATCATATTTGCTCCTGACAATTTTAAAGAGGCCTGTAATTCCACGTGCTTCCCCTCTGTGTGGTCATGTTGAAATTGCCTGTCTTCATCAAGAAACCAGAGCCCCAAAAAACCCCTCAGCAGGGTGAAGGGTGGAATGGGGTGGATCTGCTGCTCACACTGTTGGAAAAGGAGCAGGAAAAGGCAACTCTGCATCTCTTCTTTGCTCTGGTCACCAGGCCATGCAAGGGCAGGGCCATGGGAGAGCCTCTTTGGGCTTGGATGGGCACCAAAACTCATCTCTGAAGAAATATTTGGAAGAGACACTGAAAACAAAAAAGTAAACCCTGTGTCTGGAGCTACTCTACAAGTCAAAGCAACACACAAAAACTGGCTCCTTAAAATGGGTAACAATAGGTAAAACAGGATTTGCAGCTGCAGGAAATGCGGCCATAACATGGTTCAGGGCAAGGGGAGTTAAAACTCTCAATTATCTTTCCCAAACAGCATTCCTGAGGAATAACTCAAGGAGAAAATACTGCAGAAGCCCCAGCACAGGTTTGTTATTACTAGAGAAGAAAAATCAGCATTTGGCCAAACCTTTCCATTATCTGACATTGTAAAACCAGTCCTGCAGTGCTGTCTGGGATGTTCTAACCTCGGCACTGGTCCAGATCCATTTCCAGCTATGGATTGTGTGTCTCTCTCTGTTTGTGTGTTCTTCTGCAGATTTATTTTAAAACACCCTTCCTGAAGCTGCCCAGCATCCTGATTTGTAGGATTTTACTAAGCTTCCCATAGCCTTTTCTTTTCTTTACCAAGTATGTTTTACTACTTTGTATTTTCTTCTGAAAAAAATGAATTTTATTGGACAAGGGTTCAAACATAGCTGCATAATGTTTGTTTTACAGATCCTGTATTAAACCACTTTAACACATTTGTAGACCTGAGGAACTCGGCAAATACCGTGAAGGAAATGCCCTGAGCTTCATCTTGCTGCTTTGAACTGAGCAGGGTGAACTTTGCCTGGTTGCTGAGCTGACACGTGAACAACCTATTTGCAATTCATAGAGAGAGAGAGAGCAAGGGGGCCTGATCCTGCTTTTACCAAAGCCAAAGGAAATCCTACTGCTGACTGCTGCAAAACCAGCAGCAAAATCATAATGACTATTTAGGATGATATTTCACAAGTACAGTAGTGTGACAATCATGATAAAGTGCTGTTTTTTCCAGAGGCACCATCTGAATTAATAGGGTCTTTCCAACTAGCTCTCCTTGGAATGGGTTGCAAGAAGTAAAATAAATTTAAAAAAAATTATTTTAAAAAGTCTCTAGGATACTTTGCCATTCACCAGATTTTTATTCATTTAATAAAAGCTGTTATATTTTGAAGCTGGTTTGGGGCTTTTTTTCCTCTATCATTGTCATCTTCTCCTTCTTTATTGTAGCATGAGTAATCTAATTTTTCTGCATAGCATGTTGCAGTTTGATAGACAGGTCTCTGAGGGAAGCCTTATGTGTCAGCATCAGTGAAAATGACTTCTGAGGTTGGCTCACACCCCCACGCGAGCTCGGAATCCAAATCACCCCAGAGTTCCGCATCCGCCTGCCCCACGCCTCGCTGCTGCCTAATGTATTCATTTGCCTCTGGCAAAAAAAAAACAAGTGAGATCCTCCATTGCATACTGATGTCATGTGCAAGGAGCCATAATTGGGGCTGGTCACGTGTGGCAGGCACCGGGAGCTGCTGATTTTTGCCGTCTGTGGGGATAAAGTTCAGCTCTCTGCATCCATCGTGTGCTGGTGGACACCCAGCAGTTCAGGCACGTATTTTTTCCCCCAAAAAAGGAAATGAAAATAGGATGTAGGCACCCAGGTCTGTGGTTTTTTTCCAGAATTCCATTGTAGTGGCAGGAGATTTTTATTTGGCTCCATCACTACTTCAGTTTATCAGTAATAATTAATGACTTGTGCAATTGCATTTCCCACTTTAATCAAGGACAGATATTTCCAATTCAGAGTTGCAGCAAGAAAGCATCCACAAATGGGCTGCCTTTTCTTTTTCCTTTTCACAGGCAGATGCTGACAGGGAAATAAAAAGACATTTTGCTTCAGGTACATATAAAGCTTTACAGCTTCACTTCCAAAAGGACTCTCCATGACTGAGCTTCCCAAGTTACGTGCCTCATTCCCTCCTCCCAGCAGTGCACCCTAAATAATTTGAGTCTTGACTATTAGAAATCATCATGTGAAGCCCACTGAATGGACAGGAAGATTTCCAGTGATTCATCTGATTTCAATTATGCCCCTAAAAGCACTCCTGCCCTTTCTTCCTGCTTGTAATAGCTGGAGAAGTTATTGGAGAAGTGGGGCTCTGGATGGTCTGCCACTGATTTCTGAGGACTTGGATCAATGCTCTTTGACTCAGTTTCCCTGTCTGTAAACAAGACCTTTAATATGGGCAAGGAGTCTCCAGGGTATGGAAGGTTTTACCTGAGATGGAAGCTGCTGCTCCCTGGTAACACCCCAACTGCTGGCAATGATGGTAGAGCTGAACTGCAGATGTGAAATACAGCTGTCATTGCTGATTTCCATGTCATCCCACCTCCAGGTAAGTAAATAGAGCTCATTTTGGGACAAACCCACCATATTCAGTCTTCTTAACCTTCAGTCTGGATAACTGCAAAGATGAACAGAAGAATTTTATGCATAACATTTTAACTTGGCTTGATGCGTTTCCCAGTAGCATGTAAATAAACTGCCTGATTCAGAGCACTCTGTTCCTGACATATAACCCACTGCTCATTTAGCAGATTTAATTTTGCAGGCTTTGTGCATTTTTTATGTGACAATGATGATGTGAGGAGGCATGTCTTTATCACAGAAAGCCAACAGCACAGACTCCTTTTTACAAAAGTCCCTTCTTGCTGATTCTTCGGAGCAAGAGCCCAAGATAATTCTATCACAGGGTGTGCCATCTGTGACATGGGGCAGGTTTTTACTTGCAAACTTTATAACTCTTGATTGCTGCTGCATTTCAGTAATAATGTCAGTGGATATCAAACCTTGAGTCCATAAGACTCAATTATGATCTTGCAGAACACAGAGGCTGCTCAAATCCAGTCCAGACTGTGAACTCACAATCTGCTGTTTACTTAAAGTATAGAGAAAGCACTTGACCTCTTCTCAGTGGCATCCATGTGGAAACACTCGACAATAGAGGCCTTCCTTGGTTTTCTTAGGAATCATGTTTCGACATTTTCATCTCCCCTAATTAAGGTCAATGGTCACACACTCCCACTTCTCTCCCCACTCTTCCCAAACTGCCGGCACTTACCCAGCTCCAGTTACCCTGGGTGGAACAAACTGGGCCCAGTTTGTGCTCACACATTTCCAGGAGGAATGAAGAGAATCCTGGAGATCTGAGGCTCTGCTGAACCAGGAGCTGTGCTGAGCTCTGCTGTTCACGTGTCCATCACCACCACCACGAGCTGCAGCAGAGCCTGATAGCCAGAAGCGAGCAGGCGGCGGGGGGTAGGATTGCTGCAAATGCGATTCCACGATGAGAATGTTTCCTAACCCGCAGCACATGTTCCCACCCGGTGGGGAAGGTGCGAGCGAGCTCTGAGGGAGGACAGCGAGAGAATCTCATCTCCCTTTGCAGCGCCGCAAGTGCTAATTGCAGGCGGGAGGAAGGGTGGAGCTGGTAGACGGCTCTGAGCGCCTGGGCAGCACAGCACAAGGGCTCCTGCTGGAACCCAGGGAACCCAGGAGTGCTTCACATCCCTGGCCAGATTCACTGGGGCACTGCTGTGCTCTGTCTGCAGCCCTGGCTGCCTCTCCTTGAAAACCCTCGCCGTTCTCAGCAGGGCACTTCCCAGGAATGGGAACGTGCCAGCCAAGGCCACTGTGTCAGGATGCAAAGGATACCTGAACGAGCATATCCCACTGAATCAGGGGCTTGTGGGGACTGGATTTATCATCAGAAAACCTTTTCGGAGCAGTATACATCCTGCTTAGTAATTACCTTTTCTCTACTAAAAGGATTATTTCCTTTCATCATTTTTGTTGAGTAGGTGGCAGCCATGAATGGTTAACAATGGAAGGCAGAAATTGGTGAAATAATAAAACTCCATGCTTCTAGAAGTCATTTTACATATTTAAAAACAAAAGTGGGCCAGCCAGCTGCAGACCTTGGCATTACTTAGGCTTGTGCCTGATACATTGCACCCTTTCCCTTTAAACTGGCTTCCTCTCATTCCTCACACAGAGCAGAATATCACTTCCAGAAAAGAGCTAATGCTGTCCTTTTCCTTTTATATTAAAAAAAAAAAGAAAAAAACGAGAACAAAACTAACAGAGTGGTGCCCTAAGTGAGATTGTCTTGACCCTTTGCAAAGCCAGATCCTCAGAGCCTCTGCCAGCACACGCTCCCAGCACAACTCCTTTGCTCATGCTGAGCTCAGCCGTGGGTGCAGGATCAGGGCACCTGCTCTCTGGAGAGAATAACCACCCAAAAACATGAAATTTTTTTCTCCTTTCTATACCTTTTTTTTTAAGCTGAAAAATGTGTGTTTGGTGCTAAGGGCAGGCTGTGGTGCTGAGCAGCACCGTGGGTTCCTCACTCCAGTGGTGTGGGGACTGCAACCACAGTTTCCAGGCGTCAGGGAGATGTGTCAGAGCCATCTGACATCCCAGAGAGATGGATTTTTCATGTAAAAGTAGAAAGTTATTACCTCCAAAAATGTTCTCTTGGCAGCAGCAGGGCAGCAAGTGCTGCTACAGGGAAGGCAGGTGCTGGGCCAGCATAGTCCTGCAAAAGGTTTTCTGTTGTCACATATTGCAGAATAATGTAATAAAAACCCAAGGACTTTTATTCCTGAAAGAGCTCAGTCACTCATGCCACAAGGAAGATTATGTTTAATTAAATATTGAACCCCTTTATATATCTGTACCAGGCTCTGAATCACACTCCCTCTCCTTACAGCCAGAGGACATTCCCACATCTTCAAAGATTTTACAAATGAAGCTGGTTGAGAGTTTCATTTCCCCTGAAACTAAATTGAGCTACTTTGGAGATGGAAACCAGCAACTCTTGAAAATCCCTCTTTCAGCAGAGCAGGCCAGGAAGAGAAAAAATATACATTATTCCAGAAGTGAGCCACAGGATGACTTTTTAATAGCAGAAAAACTATAATATTAATTAGTATCTGTGCTTTGTTGCTGTGTTGGGGGCACCTCTTCACCTCTTCCACTTAGCTCAGTAATGGGCCCTTGCACTTCAGTTTCTCCTTGTTTGATTCCTGCAACACTTTCCTGACTCCTTTTTGGGGAAATTTTCATACTGCTGCTAAAATTTAGTCACTGGGGACTGCTTATACATCCTCAGACCCCCCTCCTTGGATTTAAACTCCATCTTTTTTGCAAGTGTGCTGTGAGTTTTCTCCATTGCTGGTATATGTGTTATCTTGCTCGATTGCATTTAATTCGGTCTCCATTTGCATATTCGCGTCCTGGGCTGAATCCGTCAAGATTTTTCCCATGACACATTTTGCCTCTGCTGTTCCCATGACACATGTTCCTTCTGCTGTGGCAAGATCTACTCTGTGGATTCTTCTGAGGAAAGTGAGGCTGTTTTCTTCCCCAAGTTCAGGTCAGGATTTTCCATGCCTTCCCCAGTCTGCAGCTCTCACACGATCTCCCTCAGCCTAGCAGGGATGAAACTCTAAATCCCTCCTCACTTCAGTCTCTCAGCTGGCTTTTGAGCCAAAGGTTGTGGTTTGTGCCCTGTCATCTGGCTTGCTGTTGGGTGTTTGGGGCTTGCTTGAAGCCGTTTCTGCAATCAAAAGGCTCAGTTTTAAATACCAGCCAAAGACTGGGCACGTGTGTACAGCATCAGGGCTCCTTTTCAAAGAGCACCTTTGGGTGAATCACTTGACCTGGCTGTGCCTCAGTTCTCCATACAGAACAGAGGAAAATAATATTAATGCAAGTCTAACTTTCTTCAGACACTGCAAGGCTCAGTGCACGACCAGAGGTGATGTTCTCGGGTATTACAGTAATAGGGGTCACAGGAGCTAGATGGAAAAGTAAAGCAGAAGCTAGTTAAGACTTTCTCAGCTGCAAAGGATTAGTGTTCATTTTAAAATCTCTGGCTCTTGGCAAATTGGGACACTTACTAACCTGTAGCTTAGAAAAAAAAAAGAAAAAAAAAGAAAAAAAAAAAGCCAAAGCAGCTGAAACAAGGGTGTTAGCAAGTCTGGCAGCACAGCAGCACAGTGCACCTTATCTCTATCCTGGTGGAAAATCAAAGGCACATTTCCAGCTGTGCCCGTGAGCACTGTTTGGTCACTGAACAAAGCAACTGGCACCTCGTATCCAACCTACAGAATGATCACAGCCTGCTTCAGGTGCACAAACAAGTGCAGAAATGAGCTCCATGCACAGAACTCATTGTTATTCAATCAAGCCTTTAATTGTAAATGTTTTAAGCAAGGAATTCTCCGTTTTATGAAAGTGTGCTCAGCATTACTCCACCGCAGACATCTGTCATTCAGCAGGCGCCACCCAATAAAAGTGCTTAAAATGTTCTGTTCCTCAATTAAAATATAAACCAGAGCTGTTTAAGGGCTTTTACGAGGTGATTTCTATTTACCTGACAGATTTCCACACTGGAGGAGCACAAAGCAGGATTTCAGTTTCTGATCGGAGTGATGGCTCTGCAAAATAGTAAAGTTTCAATTGTTTTAATTTATTTCTTTTGGGGGTTTTTTTGATTGTTTGTTTGTTTAATTTCAGGAATAATAAAAAACTGTTAAGAAGAAAGGAATTCCTATGCCAGATAAAAATGAGGAAGAACTTGGAAAGGTGATCATTGCTGATCACACATGCTGGAGGAACTGGGATCCAGGATGGACTCCTGGAGCCTGTGCCAGCACCTGCTAACCCTTCCTTCCAAATGTCATCAAATAAAAGCCAGGGAAAAGTGCTCTGCTCTGGTTTGAAACAGCCTCTTATGAAGAGAAACAAGACTATGGCTAGACAAAATCACCCATTTTCCCCTAAGAAACAGTGCATGAATGCTCTCATGGTTATTCCACTGTAGATGGATATTTCATCTCCCATCCTGCCTTACTATGGCTCTCAAAAAAAAAAAAAATCTTTCTTTTTACCTTCCTGCTACTCAAGCAGGAGCTGATGTTACATGGAAAACAAGCATTTTCACCAAAAACCCCTCTACTTTCTGTTCCAGAGCCTCAGGAACTCACCTTCAGTGGCATGAGAGGTGCAGAAAAGGCTTTGCTGGTCCCTGGTGTCCTGTGCCCCACCCTCTGGCAGCTCATCACTTCAGTGCACCTGGTCAGCATCAGGAGAAGACTGTACTCCTGCAAGACAAAGCTTTCAGCACCTTAAACCTTCTGGTTTTGCCAGGTAACAATATTTTTGGATCAGTTTGCCCTGTTCTGCATGTGACACTTGACCACACCAGGGTCTCAGCTGATTTCTGACAGCATGGGCAAGCCAAGGATGGAGCCTGTGGGGAGGGAAGGTGGGCGGGTTTGCCCCATCTCCTCCATGGCTGGGTGCCACCCTGCTGCTTTTGGGCACCTGCAGGTCCACAGAGCCTCCACAGCAAGGAAAACTGAGGTTCCACATGGCACCAACCTAGCCCAGGCAATGCAGGACTCTCCCAGGAGTTTCAGGGATCCAGTGTTCATCCAAAGCTGCCTGTGCCAGAGGTACCAATAACTGCTGATGCTCAGCCTCAGGTTGGTGAGTCTCTGATGAGCTGCCTCAATTAGATTCCTCCAGGGGAGATGTTAATTCCCTTTAAAATTAAGGAAAGGAAAAGCAAACAGCAACTAAACCAAGTAACAGGTAGACAAGCAGCTCCTGGATTTTGCACTGCAGGTATTCAGAGTGCTTTGAACCACACTGCTTGGAAGATGCTGGGAAATCTGATGTTAGCCCTTAATGTGGTGTGTGTTTTTGTCCTCTGCAGCAGCAGCATGAGTTAAGGATGAGGCATTAGCCCTCACTGTGATCCCTGCAGTGTCAGTTCAAGTCAGATTCTTCCCATTATTTATATGTTCCCTTTTGTGAGTGTATCGATTATACAAGTGAGATCTCAAGTGCCTGGGCACTCAACACAGCCACACAATGAAGGAGAGTGTCCAGGTTAGCCTGGAATTGCACTGAGCTGAGCATGCCAGGGGACAGGAGTAAATAGTGACATGTACAATTCAGAGCCACCTCTTCAGAGCTTTCTGTTTTGCTGCACACTGACTAAAAAAAAACCAAAACTACATTTCAATTTCCAAGGTGTAGCAGCCAAAGATTGTCAGAGTTATTCTTAGCCATGACAGAATTGCCACCTTCAGGCCATTTCTGAACACATGAGATTATTCCATGATAATCCAAAATCCAGCACAAGCTCCTCCCTCCCCTCTATTTGTTTTACCCTCTGCATTATGAATGCTGTGGGTAAGGGCTGTCTGTTTCACAGGGGGCTTGGTATCACAGAAAGCTGGTTGTTGATCTCTGGATGCCTGCAGGCCAGCAATCTGTGCTACAAGTTACCCCTCTATAAAAAAAAAAAAAAAAAAAAGAAAAGAGAAAAAAAGACAAGTGGATAAAACTGATACAAGCATCTGTAACAAGCTAATTGGACCCTTGTGGGCAACACAGCAGATACAAAATTAAAACAAACAAAACATCTCATTGTACAACTGCACTTCCAGGACCGCTATCACAAAGGGACCCGTCTGGATTTTTATTTTAGTTTCATTTTGTCTAAAAGGACCTAATTACGGCCAGAGCTGGAGTATCACAAGTCTGTTTTCATCTATAAAGAAAGGATATTTTGCCTCTGAACCTGAGAAATTGTTAGAAGTTGGTAATTAGTATGACTTGTTAATAGAGTTTGGCTGTGATTAAGCTGTGATTGAGTGTGAGTTTGGTTCTTGTCAATGTGAATGCCTGTAAGGTTGAGAGATGTTTAATGAGACACCTGTTGTCAGCAGCACCCCGTGGGCTTTGTTGCTCCTGATTGGAATTTGTACCACAGAGCAGGAGCAGCAGCACCAAAACACAGCAGCAGCAGCAGGCACAGCTGGAGCATCACTGGCAACAGCAAAAGCTCCAAGAGAAACGGAGGCTTGGATCCCCTGAGCTGGAAAGGTCCAGGGATGCTCCAAATCCCACAGGTCACAGGGCCTGGGGTGATCCATCATCCAAACCATGCAATTGCAGCTGACTTGGGCAGTGCAACAGGCAAAAACATTGACATTTTATCTGGTCACTAGGGAAGGATGGCCTGGGCTGCTGTGGGATGCTGGCTCTTAGGGAGATGGAAAGAGAGGGGATGTAGCTGAGCAGGTTTAAAGCTTTCTACCCCCAAAATGTCCAGCCCTTGGGTAGCTGGCAATAGTGGGGCTCTTTAAAGTGTGACATTGATGGAGAAAGGTTCTGCCCAGCCCATCCCTTGATCATTCTTCCCCTTGGGCATTTCCTTCAAGGGAAAATGTCCCACCGAGTGACTCAGTATCTTTTGCCCTTTGAGCAGAGAAAGTTTCATTCATTTATGATATTTTTGTCTCAAAAATCAGCATCATTTTCCACATGACTCCATTTAATCACTCCCCACACCAAAACCTGGGCCTGATGACAAATTTGTGTACTTGGGGCTACACATGTAAAATATTATTTCCCCCTGAATGTCTATGAAACATTTTCGAGCCGCTGCAACTTAAAGCATACCTGAGTTTTACACGCAAAGAGCCAAAGAAGCGGGAAGCAATCACGATGAAGTTGCAGCGTTTTAATGTGAAATACCTGAGCTGGGAACCACGGGAGCAGAGGCATTTTTGCTGCGGGAATGCGCCTGGGGAAGGAGCCGCTGGCTCTGTGATGGATCGCAGCAGCCACTGGATGGCATCGCTCTACACGAATGGGCCTGGAGCCGAGCTCAGCACGGCTGCTGTGCCAGGGAGATTGATCCAGCCCCGAGAGGCTCAGGCCACCGTGATCTGACCAATTCTTTAAATAACATTCAGAGTTCTCCTGGCTGCCCGGCCGGGAGCTCTGGGCACAGAGTTTGGTCAGAGCGAACAAAGCCGACACCCTGAAGCAAACCCATTTCCAGGCTGAGCGTGTTTCTCTTTCATTTTAGGTGAGATCAAATATTCAGCCAGTTTTTGATGGGTTTCCTTCTCATGAGATGGGAAAAAGAATCGTTTGTAATTTGTGGCTGTATCAAACCAGCACAGGGCAGGGAGCAATGGCCTGACTGAAGCCGTGGTGCTGCCCAGGCAGCTCAGCTGCCCAGGGCTCAGGCAGCTAAGGCTGAGCTGAGCAGGTAATTCATGCAAAACCAAAGAAAAAGGAACAGCAATTGTTGTCTGGCCTGTTGTGCCTTGCTGTGGGCTCCAGAGCACCGAGCTCAGTTGTCACCCGTGTGTGGCGCCGCCCTGAGCGACAGCAGCATCTCAGCACGTGTTAATGCAGCTCTGCTTTCTGAAAGCCACATCACTATTGATCAGGGATCAGCTGGTGCCCAAATAACCTGATGTTCATGTTTTCCCTGAGGTTCTGTGTTTCTTTCATTACTGACACCCTGTGTTGGCCTTGCTCTTCCAGTGACTACAGTGGCCAAGCCAGCCTGAGAATGTCACTGGCCAAGTTCATGCCTGAAAGGAACCTGCTGGTGGCTTTGCAGGATATTTGGGACTGCTGCCCCACAGAAGATGTATCTGAAGGGGAATACACTATTTGTGGGGGTCAGTTGGCAGTCACAGCCAGCAGATTTATCTTCAGCTAGGACATGACACCATCAGGTGAGTGCTTGTACAAGGGCTGGAAGATACAGCTGTTCTGGGCACAGAACTTCCTGCTGGTACTGCCCCAGTTTTGACCAGGTTAATAAATTTAATTAGCATATTCAATTATATAATTCCAGTTACATTGGGATTAAAATCAGATCATCAGTTCAAGTCCTGCAAAAGCCGCTTCACTCCCAGTTCTCAGTTCTGTACTCAAACCCCTTCTGCCTTTTTAATAGTGGAAAGGTATGATGAAAAAATTGCAGTATAAAATAAATGCTACATTTGTTTTATGACCCCATTTGTCTCCTTTTTCTGGACTCACCTCCCAATCCAAACAGCAAGAGAACTGTATCCATCTTGATGTGCTCAGCAGTCCGCTGGTAAATGCTTTCAGCTGTCAGAAATGCTCAGGCTTGGTGGGAAATTGAGGTTATATCAGCAGGAGGCTGCTCGGGTCCTTCTTCTGGTGGCCACAGCTCTGCTGCAGTGGCTGTAAGAGATCAGAACAACTGACAGTGATTTTCTGTTTCACATCTCCTGTTTGGTACCACTGCTTCAGGTCTCTTGTGTCACCCATGGGAAGCCTCTATGAGGTGACACCAGAGAGCTCAGTGATTTTGATCTCTTTCCATTGACTTTTGAGGAAATGGCAATTTCTTCCCAACTTCAGCACTTTAAGGGCTGTGTTTGAACACAGGAAGGATAAATCTGAATATCTTTATCTATTTAATAGTCAGGAGTGTAAAGACTAAAAGAAGGGTGTTTCATACAGCTCCTGCACTGCCTGGCAGGCTGTGTTTGGAAAAGATCCCCTTGGACCCAGCATTTATGGGATGGCAGAAATCCCAACCAGGATACCCACTTCTGTGCTGGCTGTTTTAAGGGAGATCTGTTTTAATGCAATCACCTCAGCACACAAATGTGCCCAGGATCTTTCTAGACTCAGGGCAGCACTCCAGATCTCCAAAAAGTCAAGGTGACCTTGGAAGCTGCAGGGCAGCCCAGAAAGGGAATTCAGGAAAAAAAAAAAAATCAGATTCTAGACTAATTCCAGACTATTACAAAACTATCAGAAAAACTGAACTGAAGTGTCTCGTTGTGTTTGGTGGCACAATGTAGCAGGGGATCTGTCACTGTCAGCACTGCTCTTGTCTCACTGAAAGCTGTGGTGCCTTTCACCACCACGACATAAAAATTCAAGCCAGCTGTCCCACCTGCCTGAGCAGCTTCTATTCTGGGCTCCCATGTGCCATAGGTATTGTGCTTATTGATTAGCTGGGGCTCTTTGTCCCTTGACATTGTTAGGGAATATTCTGCTGGCTAAAATCACTGGAACTGATACAGAACATTCCCAGCCCTGGCTGTGCCAGGCTGTGGTTACATCTCCAGGTCAGACTGCGGTGGGATTGTACAAAATGAAAAAAAGCTTTAAAAAAAGCTTTTTTTGAGAAGTCACCCAAGTCAGAAAAGACTGGAGGCCTCGGTGACTCTGGCTGTCAATAAGGTGTTAGGTAGGGGAAGATTAACACCCTTTAGCAATGACACAGCTGTTCCATTGAAGGTGATAACATGCAATCAGGGGAGGGAAGAGTCTAGCACAGAATAATGAACAGAGCAAGCAAAGATCAGTATAAGGGAAGGTTTTAGCCCAAAAAGCTGAAAAAGCCTCTTAAAGCTGATTATTTTAGTGGTTATAAATAAGTATAAAAAGACCCAGAGCCTCACTTTAGGTCTGCACAACGAGCTCAAATATTTACCCCTCTTTCTAAAATCAGCCTGGCTCCTAGGAAGAAGAAAAATAGTGATAATGTAGAGAATAAAGTCTCTTATCTGCCTTGGCAGTGAGCGTGCAGATAAACACAAAAATCCTTACGCCAAAGACAGCATGTAGCACTGAATCTCTTCCTCTGAAAGCACAGCAAATTGTGATAAGAGTAGGGTTGGGAAGACAATAGATTTAATAGTGGAAAGAACCTAGTATTTTGTCGACTCTTGTCTTCCTTGGAAAGGAATCAGGACAATGAAATTTCTCCCTCTACTGCTGGTGGCTAAAGGTAGAAATTAGTGGTTTGATACACCCACAGCTTTGCTGCTCACCTGAGCTTCTCCACTGCATCAGGAACCCCCGGGTCAGCAGATTTCCCCAGGGAATTAAACTGGGGAAAAATAAAATCAGGACATTCAATGCAGAGTTAGTGGTGATAATGCCAGTCAGGGGTGAGGCCACCATCACAACCTCTGCTCCCCTGCGGAAGAGCAGCAGGTCTTTACCCACATGGCCTGCTCCATTATTAGATTTTGGCTGGGCTTGAGGAAGATGGGGGGGTCTAGCTGAGAGATGGAGGAGGAAAAGGGATCACCCCTTTAAAATGCAGCTGGGGTTGAAGCTGCTTGTGAGCCGTGCTGTGAGGAAAGCTCAGCCTTTAGTGTTGGTGGGCTCAGCTAACACACACATGCAGAGAAAACCCATGGCTCTCGCTGAGACACCACTACCAAATCCTTCAGAGCCCTGAATTCCTGCTGGGTAGGAGCCGAGAATTGCCTGTCCATTCCCACCTCACTCTCCACTCCCCGTCTCATGGATCACACACACACACACTGAAAAGGGACTGCTCTCAGCCCAAAGGTGGAAGGTTCTGTTCCCCCTACTGGACACAGACCAGTCCCCTACCTCTGGCAGACCTGCCCATGTCCCTTTCACCCCCAGCTGCCCCACAGCCATCCCACAACAGCTGTTTGAAGGAATGAAGTGAGACAGGCCGTGCCACCAGGGATGTGACAAGAGCTGCATCTGCTCTCTCAGGAGCTGTGACATTGCTGTGGTACAGCCTGAAACAGAGCAGGCAGGAGCTCCAGGGAAGAGCAGAGGGTCTGGATGGGAACAGTAACAACCACAGGGACACCACCAGCACCAGCAGGAGCAAAAACGTTGCTGTACCACTTGTGAGAGCAGCAGAGCATATGGCCAGTCTGGGACTGTTGTCAGCAGCCCAGAATGGGGTAGCTCTGTTCTGGCAAACTCCATTTTTTGTCTTTATGACCAAAGAATGGTTGCATGTTGGAAGCTCTGTAGTTGCTAGGGGAAGAGCCATTAATATGCTGGCAACTGAGAAGTCAGCCAAAGCGAGTGCTGAGATAAAATTACTTTTTCCCACTTGTGTTTCACCCTGAGTGTGTTATTCAGTGTGTTTTCTCTGCTCAGGATACCTGACACACACTGTGCTGGGCTAACTTCTTTGTCCTTTCTGATTTTATTTTTCACCTTTCCTAAGCATGATTCCAAAGAATAATACTAATCTGACAGACTAGAAAGACTTCTTACATCATAAATCCCTACTTACTGGCAGAGTAACAGTGCAGACTGTTTCTCTCCCATAAAAACCCCCTTTTCTCTATTAGCCTGAAAATTAAGAATAGAAAATAAAATAATAGTGATGGAGGTGGTGCTAAATCAGTGCATGTGACTGGGAATACATCCAAAGGAGAGTGATCCTACAGAATAATGAATAATTTAGTGATGGGGCTCAAGGGTGCTACCTGGATCCCAGCACACAAGAAGTTAATGTGCTTCTCCCTGCCCAGCTCCTGGGGCAAATGTGCATAATCTCATTCCAGAATAACAATATTTTCTTCCCCTGTAGTTTTATTCTGCTGGGGTAAGCAGTGCCTTCCCAGGTAAGGCTCTCCCCTCCCACACTTGCAGCCTGTTTCTCCATATAGATCAGTACAGCCCTCAAATCTTATCTGCACAAGGTGTCAAGTCCAGCTCTGGAGACATTTATTCCAAACCAGAAATGAGTATTCTTATTCCAAAATAAATACATCTGTAAATCTCCTGATTTCATGATAATGTTCACACAGTGGTGGGGAGAATGCAAGGTGAGCACCCCTCGATCAGCCTCCCTCCCTCCCTCCAGCTCAGTCCCATCACAAATAACAGTGGAGCTGAACCATACAGAGAAGATGATTTTTTTTTCCCCAAAGTCTTCATTTTAAAGCAGCTGTTCCCAATTCTCTCCAGTAATTCCCCAGACACTTTCCCTTTCCCCTACTACACAGGAGTATTGCTCCAAACCATCCTTGAATGAAGTCAGCTCTGTTTTGCCTCTTGTTTGCTCTAACCCACACCACTTACAGACATTTTCAAAACTGGGAAACAATACAAAGCCACACTTTGTGTGATCATGCAGCACCCTGCAAACACAACTATTCATTAAAAAAAAATAGACTAGGCACTAGGACTGCCAGCTCCTGACTCTGCTGTGACACAGACACAATTTTTTTCCACCAGAGGATTTTTTTTTGCCATGAGACGCCGAACAAAAGTCACGAGCAGTTCCTGTGATCAAAAGAAATCTCTGTGAGAGTCTGTGGCAGCTTCACCCTGTCCCTTCATGCCAGCCACTGCTCATTTCCCTGAGCCCTCGCTCTGCTCTGCACTCTTGAGGAAGTCAGAGCAGATCCAGCACTGCACAGTAATGCACTGAGAACAAACGTGTTGTTTCTATCAGTGGAAAAGGAGTTTAACTATTCCTAGGCCACAGAAAGCTCAAATGCAATGCCAGGATTTGTTAATGCTTTGCCTATACCATCAATATGGATGTACCTGGCCTTGTTCTGGTGCCGATCAGTGGTGTAAATAAAAATGTTATTAATTTATAAATTGCCTTGCCTTTATTTAACAGATCAATTAAAGTCTGAATAAGATTATAACCCCTACAATAACCAGTATGTCATAAAGTGTATGGAAACCTTCTCAATCTTGATTTTTCTCTACAGATCTTCATTTAATCACAGGGTCAGGGCAGGATTTCAGATGCAGAGCTGGGTCCCCTGTATCTGCTCCCTGGCACTTTCAGCACCTCCAAACACACCAAGTGCCTTCAGTCTGCTCCACATGCAGATGCTGTGCAATAAATAATGAGCCACATAATTATAGTTTCAGTATTGAATCAGGCTGTGGAAGATAGAAGTGTAGGAGGTGAGTTTTCTGAGGACAGGAACAGCATTTGCTGAATGTACTTGGGATAATTTCAGTTCAAACCATGAACAAGAGGGTTTTAGGTAGAAAGATCTACAGAAAAATGCATCTCTGTTCTCTGTGAGACTTGGCTATTTTTTCCACTAATTTGGGGCAAAACCACACTGACCTTTTCCATTAAAGAAAACAAAAACGTGTCTCCAAGGCAGTGGGAAATCAGGAGCTGGAACACAACATTGTGGCTTCTTTTTAGATAGCCAAAGAGCAGCTAGGAACCTCAAAGCCCCAGAAGAGCCAGGAATCCTGGACCACCATCCTTACAGCTTGCTGACTTCCAGTGTAGGGATGTGGAAAGAAAAAGCCCTGATGTGGCAATCCCTGATCAGTGTCCCATTGTTGTAAACACCCAGCTGACCTGCACTAAAGCCATAATTCTTGTAACACCAACTGCCCACTGCAGCCTTTCCTCTGCAAGAAACAAAGAGGCAGCTTGGGATCCAGTGCT